AAACTCATCAAGAAGATGGGCAACACCTGACTCACCTCCGTAGGCTGGCCAACCCCCAGGCTGGGCTGGAGGAGTATCTCTTTGAAAGGCTCACCTGGAGCCTTTGGAGCCCAGAGGCCTTTAAGTGGCCCATGTGCATTCCCTGGGTGTCTTCTTTTTTTTAAAAAAAATATTTTATTGGTTTTTTACAGAGAGGAATGGAGAGGGATAGAGAATTAGAAACATGGATGAGAGAGAAACATAGATCAGCTGCCTCCTGCACACTCCCCACTGGGGATATGCCCACAACCAAGGTACATGCCCTTGACTGGAATTGAACCTGGGACCTTTCGGTCCGCAGGCCGACACTCTATCCACTGAGCCAAACCAGTTAGGGCTCCCTGGGTGTCTTTTGCCTGAGTCTCTCACCAAAACCACTAGCCATTCTTTAACTACCCTGTAGCCCTCTCCCAGGCATTGGACCAAATAGAAACAAAATAAAGTTTTTTGCAGAAAAAAAAATTTGAATGAAGGGCCAGGTAGATCTTACAAAGCACTATGATATGAAAGGAATGGAAGTAATGCCTTGGTCTGACCTATGCTCACCCCACACCCTCCCCCGCCCCTGAGTGCAGCATGGGAAAGACGCTCTACTGAGTTGGGTGTTTTGCTTGGCCACCTCGGAAGGTGCTCTCCTCACTCCCCATGTCCTTCCCAGAATCCTCTCCTCCTTGGGTCTGCTTCCCAGTCTGTGTGCCACTTTGCTCCCTCAGGAAAAGAGCTACTTCTTGCCTCTTTGCAAACTGGATTTCTGTGGGCTGTGGCCAGATACAAATGGAATCTTTCCTTGCTTCAGCCTTGCCCGCTTAGGGTAAATGGACTCTGAGTTAGGGAGGTGGTACAGGCTGCTCCACAGCTGGTCTCCACACAGCTCGGTCTGAGGTTCCTCTCCTCACTGGTTCCCTCAGAGCAGAAACACCTCACACCTCAGCAAAGCAGACATTGGGTTTTGTTCCTGAAGACAACACAGTCTAGCCTCGCATGAGGAATGTATGTTCCTCACATTAACATCAGTTTAACTGTGTTCATCTCAAAACCGGAACCCATTTTGTTTTGCTAAGGAGCCTTGGACCACTGCCTGGGCTTGGCTTATGTCATCAGTCACAGTGTCAGCCGTGAGTTCTTTTATTTTAGTCATCAGGGATCAGCTGTAAGCTGCTTTATTTCAGTCATCCAGGACAGCTTTCTGATCCCCAAATCTCAGTCTACTGGAAGGGAGGACAGGAAGGTGTGTGATCTCCTTGCTTTGTATACTCCTCCTCTCACAGTGTGTCCTCAGAAGGCATAGACAATTGGGCGGGGGGGGGGGGGGGGGGCGGTGGCTGGGGAAACAGCATTAGGCAAGAGTATTTTTCTGCTTGTCTCTGTCAGGGTCTTGCAGGAAACAGCTGGTGCAAAACAGACAGTTGAATCAAGGGACTATTTACAGAAATGCAAACAGACTTAAGAGAACCCAACCGCGGGGGGATGAAGGCCCCGGGACAAGCAAGGGCAGGCGACCAATATCTCACATAGGCCTGGAGAAGCAAGGGCGCACAGTGTGACTGGGCACAAAGGAAGGCAAAGAAAGGTGGAGAATGGAGGGACAACCAACACAGTCAACATTTGAAAGTTTAAAAAAAATGGCCCACTTATCCCACAAAGTAAGCTACTATGTACAGCTTATTATACTTTACATTAGAATACTGGGCTTCTGTGTGCACCAAAAGAAATGCAACATTACTGTGTGAACAATTAATAGATAGATGGCATACAGGGCACCTGGTTCCAATTCTCATGATGGTTGGGGTGCGGCTTTTCTTTTCTCATGTCTTCACACCTTATCTCCTCACTCTGCATTCAATGACTACACCAGGGACAATAAAAATCTGTGTCCACATGTATATGTTTCCAGAATCAGGGTTTTTAGGAAGGCTGAATGCCCCGCCCACACACCCCATCCCCCCTATACACACATATTGGGAATCCCTTAGATAGCATTGCTGACAGGTTACCTAGTCTCTCTAAGTACTTTGGTAACAAATTGTTTTACCATCTCACGTGGGAAACTTTTTAATTGAACAACTCTTTTAAAAGGTTGTTAACATTATGATAATATTTAATGAATTTTTTTCTGTTTCAAGTGACAAGTTTCATCAAAGTTAGGTCCTAAAAGGACAACTTACAAATTGAACTTCTCTCAGTTTAGTTTGTAACTTCAAGATGATTCAACACCTTCCGTGCCATCTGGCCATGCTTTCATTAGATGGAGTCTGGAATCCCAGGAATTCTTATTTGCTGCTGCTGTTGCTGCTGCTGCTGCTGCTGCTGCTGAGCAAAATCAATTCAAGAGTGAAGTGAAGCCGAAACCGGTTTGGCTCAGTGGATAGAGCGTCAGCCTGCGGACTGAAAGGTCCCAGGTTCGATTCCGGTCAAGGGCATGTACCTGGGTTGCGGGCAAATCCCCAGTAGGAGATGTGCAGGAGGCAGCTGATCGATGTTTCTAACTCTCTATCTCTCTCCCTTCCTCTCTGTAAAAAATCAATAAAATATATTTTTTTAAAAAAAGAGTGAAGTGAAGGTGTTGGGTCAAGGGGATGAGGAAGTTAAGTAGATACTTATAGAGAGAAGAATAGGGATACGATGACACTATTGTTAAAAAATTCTAGTTAAGCCCTGGCGGGTGTGTCCCTTGCACCAGGAGGTTGCGGTTCAATTGATGTTGTGTTCTCACATGTTTCTCTCTACCTCTCCCTTCCTCTCTCTCTCAAAATCAATAAACGCTTCCTTAACAAATTTTTTTACTGACTAAGTGTTCCAAAAGAAGAGAAACAGCATAAAATTAAACAAAATATTGGCAGCACTCAAGAACCAAAAATGTCTGAAAAAAAATGAGACGGGAAGATTCAGTGAATTTTGTTTATTCTGTAGACCTACTCTCACCTTTCTCCGCTCCGTGGTGTTCCCTAGGAGGCTGAGCTATTGGACTACATGAACTCCCCTCTGGCTTCTGACTGAGTTAAGCTATTCAGACTGGGCAGGAGATTGGAGGGGAGGAGAGTAAGGCTGGAATATTTCTGCCTCCCAGTCTTCCTCTCTGTGGAGTTCCTGCAGGTTAGTCCCTCAACTCAAGGCCGTAGCCCTAATCAGATTGCCTTTTCTATGCATTTTTATCTCCCTGGATTTCAGTAGCTCTCTCCCCTTCAGGCCTGGGCACTGCAAAACCCTTGAGGTTTCCCACACCCTGCCCACAACTTTATAAATACTAGGTCCTGTTTGTTATTAAATTGCTCAATTGAGATGTGCCATCGGTTTCCTGCCAGGACCCTGACTCACACACTCAGTCCCGTTCATCTCTCAGCAAACATTTACTGAGTAACTACTACATGCTGAGGAGAATATAAGGAGAAATTAGACGGTTAATACCCTCAAGGGGCAGTCTGGGACATGGAGACAGGCGCAGGGACAGATGGTTGCATCCTGATAAGTGGTGTAGGCATGCATGGGCTGTAGAAGTGCGGGTAGGTGTAAAATGGGGCGTGGGCAGACTCAGGGAAGGTTGCTGGGTGCGGATGGGCTCAGGCATACCCCGTGGCTGCTGGGACAAGGAATATGGAGCACTGATGGCCATGGACGGCTGCAGGGGCTTCCTGGGCGGCTGGTTGGCTCCCTGTCAGAAGAGCAGGAAGGTGGTAGGAAGTGGTCAGGAGCTAGAAGAAAAGTTTAGAGCCGTGGACACCAGGGCCAGTCAGATTGTGGTAAAGGATTAGAGTGGAGGACTAGGCTGGCTCAGACCACAGAAAGCCTTGTACTGTGGGGAAGGGTCCTTCTATTCCATGTGCTTATTCTCCCTCTCCTCTCTCCGCCAAGAGAAAAACAATGAAGTCTGCAGCCTCTTAACTGAGCCGTTAATCCTGCCCACTATCAGGGCTTTGCACTCCTACTTTCTTGGCCTAAAACTTGTTTTTTTTTCCACTAAAAACCACCTCCACACACTTTCTAAGGCCTTTCGAAATGGCAACAAGGCCAGTCCTTAGAGATGAGCTGCAGGAGAGGCTAGAAGTGAATGTCCCCACACGCAATCTAGAAGCCCTAACAGGGCCCCGTTTTCTTTAATGGCACTAGACACCACCGACACTTTTCCTGTCCCGCGGAGAACGGGTCATGATAACGTCGGGAAAGAGGGCAGGGAGTGAGCTTCACTTCAAGGTGGGGCTTTGGTCCCGATGGGTTTGGGCAGGGAGGTCCTTTTCAGATCCACTTCATCACACTCTACTAGTATAGGCAAGTCCGGGGTTCGGGGGTGTCTCTCTTCCCTCCCTAAAGCGCGAACGGCAAGCAGTTTCCTTGCCAGGTAGGGCCAAGCCCATCCCACCCCACAGGTTCCTCCTTGGCACCAAAAGATGGCCAGTCCTCTCGGACTGGGGCTCGGAAGCCTTCATTAACCAAAGTCACATACACAACCCCACCCAACGGACCCTCCTGTCTGTCAAACAGCCATCGACGGAGCCCTTCCTCCCTCCGCTCCAGCCTCATCCAAGAGAACGCAGGCCCCCGAGCTGGCTCCCCGCGCGCGTGGGCCAAAACCTCGAGGACATCCTGAAGGACTCAGTCTATGGCCGTTTAGCTGAATAAGCCCGGTGTGAACTGCCCTATTCAGCCTCCCACAAATAAGGAAGGGACGCGGGAAGAGTTAAAAGGAAGTGGTGGGTACGGAATCACCCCGGCTCTGACTCGCGACAACTACGTGGATGGATTGTTCGCGCGCTCCGCAAGCTGGGGCGCCGAGTCAGGGGCGCCCGCCGCGCAGCGAGAGCTCTCAGCGGCCGGAGATCCCGGAGGAAGGACGGGTGTCTGAGTGAGGGCGGCTACCCGCCCCCTGGAGGCCCCACGTCCCCGGCAGGCGGTCGGGAAAGCCCCTCCTCCCGGGCGGAGACGCCTCCTAGAAGGCTACGCCCGCGGTCCGCCGCAGGCCAGTCCAGTTCCTGCGGCTGCCGCGGCGCGGGGCATGGGGTGCTGATGGCCATGGACGGCTACCGGGGTTCCCTGGGGCTGCTGGTGTCGCCGCTGCTGGTCGGCTTCCTGTCGGTCATCTTCACCCTCATCTGGGTCCTCCACTACCGCGAGGGGCTCGGCTGGGACGGGAAAGCGCCCGAGTTTAACTGGCACCCGGTGCTCGCGGTCACCGGCTTCATCTTCATCCAGGGCATCGGTACTGGCGCCTCCTGGGAGGCTGCGGGAAGGGGGCGCGGGCCGGGGTCCCCGACCGAGAGTGGGGCCGACGTGAGCGAGTTAGGAAGTGAGGGTGGATGCAGGGAGCGCAGGGGGCGAAGGGAGGGGGGAGGCTCCCCGGAGCCGGGCGGTCCGGGGGAGGTCGGTGGTCTGCCCAGCCGGGGGGCCTGGGTGCGGGACGCGGACCCGCAGAGCCGGGACCGTGGCCGACATGAGCGATCGCGGGAGCGGCGGCGCGGGCCCCCGGCGCGCGGGGCGGGGATCCGCTGCGAGACTCGTTTCGGGGACGGTCGGGCGCAGCGGCGGCGCCAGGCTGAGCTGGCCCGGGCGCCGAGCGAACTTGGTTAACTCTTTGCAGGGAGTGGCTTGGGGGGCACTTGAGGCGCCCCAGCGACACCCGGATCGGGAGCCGAGGAGACATGCCTGAGCGCCGTGGGCCCGGCCCGGGCAGTGCACCCGCCGGGGAAATCGCTCCCTGTGGACCCAACTCGCGCAGGCAGGGGCGCGAAGCCGCTCTTTAGGCGAGGCCTTCGCTGCACTTTCTGGGCTGCAGATTAGGGGAGCAAGGCCAGGGGGCCGGGAGGGTGGAGGTGCGAGGTTTGCCCCTTTACGGCTCAGCCCCGAGTGCAGGCGCTGGTCCCCTGGAGCCGGGTGCGTGCGGCGTCCGCTCTGGTTTTACTCCTCTTAGAGGAGCCAACCCATCGAGGCCGGGGAGCTGCCAGGACTCCAAAGGGTGTTTTCGAGGCCCGGCCTGCACTGTTCAGTTTGAGCCCAACTTGTTTATGTGGCTGCAGATGGAATAGTTCCCCTTGAGGCTTCCTGTTGGGCGCTGACCGCTAACTCGGGCCGGAGGTGCCCGCAGGGGGCCCGGCCTGCTTGGCTTCTGCCCAGGATGTCCCCGAGGTTTTGGCCCACGCGCGCGGGGAGCCAGCTCGGGGCCTGCGTCCTCTTGGATGAGGCTGGAGCGGAGGGAGGAAGGGCTCCGACGATGGCCATTTGTTTAATTTTGGACGTATAATTGACCTATAGCATTATATTACTTTTAGGTCTCTATCATCATGATTCGATATATGCACATATAGCTAAATGGTCACCACAACAAATCTAGTTAGTGACCCATTATCACACATAGTTATAATTTTTTTTCTTGTGATGAGAACTTTTAAGATCTACTCTCTTAGCAGCTTTCAAATATACAGTACGTCATCCTTCACTATAGTCACCATGCTGTACCTGACATCCAGGACTGACTTATTTTATATCTGGAAATTGGTGCTTTTTCACCCCTTCACCATTTCCCCTGCCTACCTCTTCCCACCCTCCTCTGGCCCTTTATATTGTGGCCTAGTGCCTCCCAGGATGTTCTGCAGTTTCCTTTGGCTGTTGTTTCACCGGAGGGACCTCTAGCTAGTGGGACAAGTGCCATTTATTTGAAACCACTTTCCAAGCACTACGCCTTGGCAGAGAAAATATTTAGAAAAAGGTAGAACGTGGTGCACTGGGGTGATGAGGAGTGGAGGGGTTTGGATACAGGTACCCTGTTCTTGGAAGCAGGCTGCCTTTTCTTCACCACTATTTAACTTTCCACAAACAAGCAAGCAAAGAAGTGCCCACCTCACTCCTACAGAAAAGATTTTCTGTTTAAAGCTGGTGCTGCAGCCTTGGGCAGGTGCGGCAGGCACTCTCCCGCTCTGAGATGTAGTGGCCAGCATTACTAACGACCCAGCCATGGTCGGCATGTGGCCAGCATTACTAACCACCCAGCCGTGGTCGGCGTGCTTCCCTGCTGTGAGACTGGCATTGGGGTGTCAGTTATTTCAATGGATAATCCCAGTTATTCCTCATTGAACTAAAATGAGAAACACATACTCAAGTTTCAAAGTCGCTGTCCTCAGAAGCGCTCTTCCTTCATGGTGGGTGGAGCCCTTAAGTTTGGCCAGAGCTGTCAACACCTCTGCTTGCTCCAAGCAGTAGGAACAGTTTCTTTATCTCTTCCAGCCACGCCTTCAGAGCAGCTCCTAATACCAAGTCACTTTCCAGAGGTTGTGGAGTATCTTTTCCTCATACTTAGTGTTAATTGTATCCTGACTTACCAAAGAAGAGAACAAGTCGAAAACAAGTTTCCATTTATCGAGTGCTTTCTGTGTGCCCACGAAGTGCATTATTTCCTATATAAGGGTAAACTGAGTCACAGAGCACTTGAGTAACTTACTGATGGGAGTAGTGTGTTTCCGTGGCCTTCTTGTCAAGGTTGATTTCTCTGCTTTTAGGGGAATATGCTTATTTTCTGCAAAATATGTTTTTTTAGAGAGGTAAAAGGCTTCATTTATTATATACCTTGGAACTCTTCATTCATATTAGAGTTCATTACTATTTTCCTAAAAGGATTTCTAGTTCTCCAAAATTTGAACTTTTTAAAATCTGCTTGTACTCACTTTGGGGCAAAATTGTGTAAGTGGATGTTTTGGAAATGTTCATCTGCTGCTTTTATGCAAACCTTGTTTTCTTAAAGCTTAGTTGCTGTATTTGTATCAGTTTTGGAATGTTTCTCCTGTCAACATTACCCATCCTGTTTACTCTTTAGATTCCAGAATTGCAAAGCATTTAACCACACAATACATTTAATTGACATGAACATAACCTTTTCATACATAGAGGCACATGCATAGTACTTTCAAGTTCTCAGAAATCTTGGCTCACTTTTACCTCCTCGCACCCAACAGTAGGAAGGCTCCCGCGGAGAGACTAGGAATATAAATGGTTGACTGTATAGGCCAGGAGGGAAGCAGATATTACAGCCTAGCTGTGATAGTACACTCTTCCCCTATGTGGCATAGCTTCAGGGAGAAAACTTTTAGGCTATGCATATGTAATGTAATATGATGCCCATGCTTTTGTGAGGTTGGCTAAACCAGTCTTCCAAGCTGGCCTCCAAGCAAGAGGATCACTGAGGGGAAGAGAGGGCACTTTTACTTTAGAGGCGACTGTAGTCATCACACATGAATGGCTGTAAAGGAGCATTTTGTTACTAATGCTACAGAAATAATCACTCATTCTTTCAACAACTACTTATTGGACTACCATATATGCCAGTTCTAGGCATCATTCTAGGAGCTGGGGATACAACAGTGACCAAAATAATCATGTCTAAAACATCCTTATTAGTTCTGTTATAAAGAGTTCTGCATGCATTTATTTATAACAGAAATGGTGTTCTGGGTTGCCTTGAATTGTCTCTCTTTAAAAAAAAATATTTTATTGATTTTTTTACAGAGAGGAAGCGAGAGGGATAGAGAGTTAGAAACATCAATGAGCTGCCTCCTGCACACCCCCTACTGGGGATGTGCCTGCAACCAAGGTACATGCCCTTGACGGGAATCGAACCTGGGACCCTTGAGTCCGCAGGCTGACGCTCTATCCACTGAGCCAAACCGGTTAGGGCGAATTGTCTCTTTATACTCTGTGAAAACCCTTATTTCCCTTCCTCTCTCTGGAAATCAATCAAAAATAAGTAAAAAATATTTCACATCTCTAATAATGGACATGGCACAAGCATTTAGAGACGAGGAAGGAAAAGCTAAAGTACATACAGGCATTGCTCTAAGCATAAAATGCTTTACAAATGCAATATACAAACAGTAAACAGTATTTGAAACTATGTGAGAACAAGTACGAGTCCTTTGAAACACCTTTAAGAAGTAAGGTCTGAAGAAAGCAAGGCTTGCCTAGAGTTACAAAAAATAAGTCTCTCCCCTCTCTCTCCAAGTATATTTTGGAAAATATTTGGTTTCTAAAATAAAGTACGGCAGACTATAGAATATCTAAAACCAAAATAAAAATTTAAACTGGTAGGAAATCTGGTGCGCATGAATGAGGAAGAGTTCCAAAGAGAACTTTAGAGGAGGCTTTGTGCTTCTCCGAGAGAAAGTTTCCCATGAAACAGGTATCCTGCCAGGAAATCAGAGAAACAGACCTTGAAAAGGCCACAGCAGACTGAAACAAACGAACGCTCTCAGAGTGGCAGCTGACCTTTTAAAAGGTTCAACAGGTGGAATGTGCTCTTTAGTAAAACATAGAAAATTCAAGTTTATAAATTTAGCGCAAAGAAGTCTCAGCAATTCTATACTCCTTGTTTTTCCACTTGTAGAACTCTATTGTATAAACTGAAGGAAGAGAAATAGAATAGTATCATGATATCAAGTTGGTTTTGTGAGAGAACCTAACTACACTTAAGTAACATTTAAAAGAGTAACAAAAAGAAATGAAGAGTAGTTCTTAAAAAGCATTTGGAATATCCTATTAATGTATCTAAAAGTGGCCAAATTTCAAGACCGGTTAAATATATTTGAAAGGGCTCTTGGGTAAAACCTGGCAAAGAAGATAATGGAGAAAGTGCCCCAAACACCTACTCCAAAACCAGCCTTGGGAACACAATTGATAATAAAACCTTTCAATATTAGGGAGATGGGCGTTTTTGCAGAGTATAACAAAATAATTCAAGGCAAACCCAAAACACAGTTTTTGCTATAAATAAATGCATATGGATCTGTTTATGACATAACTAATAAAAATGTTTTAGACATGATTATTTTGTCCACTATTGTTTCCCCAGCAACTAGAATGATGCCTAGAACTGGCATATGGTAAGCCAATAAGTAGTTGTTGAAAGAATGAATGATTATTTCTGTACCATCATTAAATTATTAGTAATAAAATTCAACTTTACAGCCATTTATGTGTGATGATAATAGTAGCCTCTAAAGCAGTGGTTCTCACCCTTCCTAATGCCGCGACCCTCTAATACAGTTCCTCATGTTGCGGTGACCCCCAACCATAAAATTATTTTCATTGCTACTTCATAACTATACTTTTGCTACTGTTATGAATCGTAATGTAAATATCTGATATGCAGGATGTATTTAGGCGACCCCTGTGAAAGGGTCATTCGACCCCCAAAGGGGTCGCGACCCACAGGTTGAGAACCGCTGCTCTAAAGCAAGCATGTCAAACTCGTGGCCCACATGTGGCCCACAACGAATATTTTTGTAGCCCAGCCAATATAACGGTATGTAATAAACTTTTTAATAAAAATTTTGTGCCCTAACCGGTTTGACTCAGTGGATAGAGCATCGGCCTGTGGACTCAGGGGTCCCAGGTTCAATTCCAGTCAAGGGCATGTACTTTGGTTGCGGGCACATACTCAGTAGGGAGTGTGCAGGAGGCAGCTGATCGATGTTTCTCTCAACTCTCTATCCCTCTCCCTTCCTCTCTGTAAAAAATCAATAATAAAAAAAAATTGTGACTTAATTTTTATAATATCCTGTTATACATAATCTTATATAATAAAAGGATAATATGGAAATTGATCCTAACAGCGGAATGACCAGTCGCTATGACGTGCACTGACCACCAGGGATAGCTCAACGCAGGAGCTATCCCCTGGTGGTAAGTGCTCTTCCACAAGGGGAGAACCGCTCAGCCAGAAGTCGGCTCATGGATGGCCAGCGCAGTGCTAAAGAGGTCCGACTAACGGCTTAGGCCAGCTCCCGGTGCCTCCTGCACGCCCCTGACTGGGGATCAAGCCCGCAACTCGGGCATGTGCCCTTGACCAGGATCCAACCCGGGACCCTTCAGTCTGCAGGCCGACGCTCCATCCACTGAACCAAACCAGCTAGAGCATTTCATTTATTTTTAAATTTATCACAATAGCAGGTCCCACTATGAATAATTTTTTTTAAAGGTTTTAAATGTGTTTCTCACATATACAGGTGGTCCCCGACTTGTGGTGATTTGATTTAGGATTCTTCACTTTATGATGATGCAAAAGTGATACACATAATAAATTACATGAGATATTCATCACTTTATTATAAAACAGGTTTTGTGTTAGGTGGTTTTGTCCAACTATAGGCTAATGTAAGTGTTCTGAACATGGTTAAGGTAGGTTAGGCTAAGCTATGATGTTCGATGCATTACGATATTTTCAACTGAGGATGGCTTTGCTGAGCTGTAACCCCAGTGTAAGTCAAACATCTGTATGCGTTTATGTTTCCCTTCATTTTCTGGTGGAAAATGGTCTGTCAACTAGGATCTCTAACAGAAAACTCTTGTTTCAGTCACAAGTAACTATTTAATAGCTGTTCCCCTCCTCATGGGCTTATGAGACCTTTTTCTTCCTTCCCACTGAACCTCAGGAATGGTGTCTAGGTAAGTGCCAAGCCAAAGAAGCAAGAACTATTTAAATTCGGCTCTCCAGGCAGTTTTCTAAGTGTTGAGAATAGACTGAAGAATGTGGTCTGATTTGTTAAGGTTGCCCTTTTTTCCTGAAGTCCACCGCATTTGGGTTATTTATACATTTTTAAAGCATATGAACATCTTATGCAAGTGCATTGTTTTGCGATTATCCTTCATGTATCCAGACAGCGTTTTGAAATAAGTTCCACTATCCAGCAGAGCTTCCCTATAGCCAGGATGGCTGCTGAGAATCCCGTGCCTCACTCAGGAGAGCCCCTCAGATTTCCACAAGCTGCCTAAGTAGTCGTTGAGACTAGTTGGCTATGGATTTGCAAGCTTACAACAGTGTTTTTACACTTTAGAACTATCATGAATTCTTTAAACCATACAGAAAATAATAAACAGATTGCTATGTGCTCACCACCCAAAGTGAACAAATGTGAAGATTTTTGCCAACATAAAAATTTATAAGCAAGAAGTTAGAGCTGGTAGGAATAAAATGTAAGGCAGGAAGGAGGGAAGATGATGGGGGTGTGCACCCTAACCTGAGCTAAAAACTAAAAGAAGAGATAGAGCCCAGCTGGTGTGGCTCATTGGTTGAGCGTCAATCTATGAACCAGGAGGTTATGGTTCAATTCCAGATCAGGGCACATGCCTGGTTTGCAGGCTCCATCCCCAATAGAGGGCATGCAGGAGGCAGTTGATCAATGATTCATCATTGGTGTTTCTATCTCTCTCTCCCTCTCCCTTCCTCTCTGATATATATATATATATATATATATATATATATATATATATATATATATATGTAAAGTTACATATATATATGTAAAAGAAGAGAAAAACTCTAAACAAGACCCCCAGGGACTGAAAATCTGTAATTGTCTGGGCCCATTTGGATCAGAGGCTAGCACCTCTCCTCCTGCAGAGCCCTTAAGAGCTGACTCTTAGACTAATAGGACAATATGTTTACTTATTATCCCGAATCATAAATAAAAGATTAAATTATGCTTTATTTGTGCTACTGCTGGAGAAGGAAAGCTAGTGTGTAACAAATTTGTTTGAGTAAACAAATGTTTTCAAATCAAGTTTATAAGGTTTAAAAATCAGGTGTTCACAGTTCCATTCCCAGTCGGGGCACATGCCCAGGTTGTGGGCTTGATCCCCAGTAGGGGGTGTGCAGGAGGCAGCCGATCAATGATTGATTCTATTCTCATCATTGAGGTTTCTATCTCTCTCTCTCTCCCTCTCCCTTCCTCTCTGAAATCAAGAAAAAAAAATTTTTTTTAAAGTAAAAAAAATCAAGTTTCAGTACCCAATGGGGGTAGATCTCAGTTTTATGGAATATTTGACACATTTCTCTCGGATGCCTATAGGATTGAGAAGAGTTAAAAAGTTTTCACTGGGAACACAGTTGTCTTTGAATTTTTTGATAACTCTTTTTAGGTAAACTTTTATTGAAGAAAAGTACTTAAATCATAAATGATGTCTTTTTATAACATGAACACACTCATGAACCCAGATCATGAAACACTATTCCAAGTGCACCAGAATCCCCCCAGTAACCCTTGTAACTCCTCTCAGTCATGATAATCACGCCTGATTTCAACATCAGAGATTAGTTTTGATTTTGGAAATTTCTGATGTAATATCATTCAAATTGGGGAGAAAAAGCTCTTGTGATTTACTCTTCATAACTTGCTTTTGAAGCAAACACATTTCTGAGTATTATCTACAAGATCTTCAAGTTCCCTCATCTGAGATTCCTTCCCCTAGGGTGGGGCTTGATTGATATGATAATGACGACACCTCGTGAGGCTGACTTCACATGTGTCTTTGTGGGTTGGGTTTAGACATGTTTCTGTCTGAAAATGGAATCCCTTACATTTTTATGATTTTATGAAGTTTCATATATTTAATTCATAAATATCTTTGGTGGGAGGAGGCTTTTATTTTTCTTGCTAGAATTAGGAAATCTACATGATACACTGCTGATGTAGTGGGATCCATCTTCCAAGGAAGCATTCTTTAAACTTTTTCAACCGGCCATACATTTCCTGGTCTCTACATTTTCTCTGACATGGACTAAAGGGGTGGGGTGAGGCAGGTAAATCTTCAGCACAAAAAGTAGTTGCAAGCTGGCCATGTAACCCACTATTTAAATCAGGACACTTAAAAAACACACCTGCTTTAAAAATCTTCTTTGTTGAAATTTAATCTATATGCCAAAAAGTGTACATGTAAATGTATAGCTTGATGAATCTAGGTATGTAGCCAGCACCCAGACTGAGAAAGAGAATATTAGCAGAAACCCCTGTGTATTCCCTTTCAATTGCTATAACCCTTCCTCACAAGGGCAACCACTAGCCTGACTTTCCTTATTGCGTAGATGAGTCTTACCTGTGTTTATACTTCATATAAATTGACTCATACAAGATATACTTGTTCATATCTTGTTTCTTGGGATTGATCCATATTGTTGGGTGACATTCTGGTTATAAATTATTTGTTTTCTTTGCTCTATTATGTGATGTGAATGGATATATCACACTTTATTATTCATTCTATTGATGGGCATTTGGGGAGTTTCCAGGATGGACCATTAAAAATAGTGCTACTAATAATATCCTAGTGCATGTCTTTTGGTGAACATGTTTCTTTGGGGTGTATACCTAGGAGTGGCATTGCTGGATTCTAAGGTATGCCTTAGTTCAGCTGAAGTAGATACTGCTAATTTTCCATAGTCTTTGTTCTCATTTAAGCTCCCATCAGCATAACATGAGAGTTTTGATTGTTTCATATCCGCTTCAATATTCCGTATCATCATTCAGATATGTGGTAGAGGTATTCTCAGTTGATTTTAATTTGTATTTCTCTGTTGAATAATGAAGTTTATGTCTTTCTTATGTTTATTAGCCACTTGGATATACTCTTTTTTCTTATTTAAATCTTTTTGCATATTTTTCTCATCCTTAGTCTGCCTTTCTCTTATCAAACGAAAACATTTCTAGAAAGAAACCAGGTCACAAGATTAAGAATTTAGTTTTGGATGTGTGAAGTCTGAGATATTTAGGAGGCATCTATATGGATGTCAAGAGGCTGTTGGATGATGTGGGTCTGGAGGTCAGAAGAAAGTTTTGGGCTGGAGATTAAAGTTCCGGAGTCCCTGCCATGTAGGTGGCATCTCAGTGAAAGAGTGAATGAGGTCACCCACAGCAAGAGCAGGAGGACAGCCCTCGGACTGAGCCTGGGGGCACCAAAGTTTGTTCACAAGTTGGGAGTAAAGAAGAAGCCAGCAAAAGAGCCCAAGAAAAACCGTTGAAAGGTGGGAAGAGGGTAGAAGCAGAAACCAAGAGGAAAGGCTTCCATGGAAGGGAGTGTTCAGTGTGTCAAACTGTGTATCGTGCGGATTTTAAAAAAAACACACCCACATCCTGTCCCCCTTTGTCTCCCTGTAGCCATCATTGTATACAGACTGCCATGGACCTGGAAATGCAGCAAGCTCCTGATGAAATCCATCCACGCGGGGTTACACTTCGTTGCAGCCATTCTTGCCATTATTTCTCTGGTGGCTGTCTTTGATTTCCACAATACGCTGAACATCCCCAATATGTACAGTCTACATAGCTGGATTGGACTGACAGCTGTCATACTCTTCATGTCACAGGTCAGTGTCTCAGTAAGTTTATAAACAAGGTGTAAAAAGTAAAGCAGTTCAGATACTGTAGATGTTTTCTATACATTAATATTTTGTTGGAAATCATCTTCTCATTCCCACTAGTCCTTGTTCCACTTGTTTCCATTATAAGTATTTCCCCTTGCGGGGGCTGGGGACCTGCAGTATTCACAGCCTGTGAGCCTGAATGTGAGATTCTAAATATGGGCATATGTATATACAGGGAAATTGCCCACAGATCACATCTAGACTGCTGTTGTTGGGACTTCAAGTTTCATGTGCTGAATAAACTAGCACAGACAAGAGCTATAGATTTCTTTTCCACATTCAATCACATCTGTTTTCTAGGTTTAACTTTATGCATGAAAAGATGAATTTGTATCTCGTTGATTCTTTGAGTTTGAAGACTCAGTGTTTATTTTATTTTTCCTCTGTCCTCACTTACTAAAAATACATACTTTGGACAGCACTGTATTTAAACATAAGTTAATGGAGAGTGGTAGGGATTGGGCTGTTCTGGGTCACTAAAGAAAAGGTAAATTTTAAAAGTCCTTATGGTGTTAACCACTTGGTTGAAAAATCTTTGTGAACTGTGTTGATTTACTTCCTTTCTTTAGTTAGTACAGTATACATTCAACTCCCTTATTTGGCACATCATTGTGAACTTCAGTTTTCTGTAGATAGAAAAGTAAGAAACTGGAGTGAATTTACAAAATATATGAATGTATGACCTCTCAAAAAAAAGGACCTCTTACCAGGCATTTATTTGTCACCTTTCTGCTTAAGGCTTTTTGAACGTTAATTAAAGTTAATTATATGACACTATTAATTATTTAAGTTTGCATTACCATGCCCAGAGGTAGGGACTGGGGAGTGGAAAGGTGCCAGACCGGAGAGGAGCACAGAGGAAACCCTACAGCAAACATGATCTTCCTGGTCAGGAAGAAGCAAGGAGAACATCTCAAAGTGGAGGGATGACACCTGCAGGGAACATTGACATGGGGACAGTTGCTTTGGGGAACCTCTTCACTCCTGTCATTTCCTTAGGACTTTTTTCAGCTGCCTCTCCCGCTTGCAGTGGTTGGTTCGCCTGGCGTTGCTCCACTTCCTTTGCGCCACCGCAGAATTCTAGAGCCCGCGCACTGTGGGGAGCATCTACTCACCTCACGCAGTCCTTTAGTGACATAGCCTTCAAGGGGCTGAGGACGCACAGGGTACACAGTCAGTGGCACTTGGTTCTGTTTCCAGGATGTCCCCATGATCACTCAGCTCGTGTTGGAGCATTCGCAGTGGAGGGCTGTATTTCTGAGGACCGGCGTGGAAACTACCCAAACTCTCTGTAGCTTCGCTGTGAAAGGGTTCTGTACTCCTGAGCACAGTAGCTAAATAAATGCCTTTACTGAGTTAGTTATATGACAAGGCATTGTTTGAACATCTGGAAAGATGTGCATTATTTTTCTTTTTATTTTCTGAATTTTCTAAACACATAAGCATTCCTTGTATAGCAGTAGTAGTAGTATTAGTAGTGGTAGTAGTAAGCTTTTAAAGCTAAACAGCTTTTTATACCAGATATGCCTTCTCATGATTAAATTTATGCTTTTAAATCTGGATGATTTTTCTAAAAATTAATTTATACTCTGCTCTATATCTTAATATGTAAAATTAAGAAATATTTAGGGATTAGCAAAAAAGAGAATACTTATTCTAAAATCTATGGGTCTTAGCTAAAATGGTTCTCAGAGAAATATAGGTTTAAATGCTTTTTTTTTTTTTTGGAAAGAAAACTTAAAATACATAAACTAAGTATTCACTTAAGAAACTAAAAAGAATAGCAAAATAAACCAAGAAAAGAAAAATGAAGATCCAAAAAAAAAGCCATGAACAGTTGTGTTAGTGTTTACTATTGCTGCCGGAACAAATTACCACAAATTTAGTGGCTTAAAACAACACCAATTTATTACCTCACAGTTTCTGTCTATCAGAAGTCCAGATTGGCTTGTCTGTTTTCTCTGCTTTGGGTCTCGCAAGGCCAAAATTAAGGTGTTAGCTGGTCTGGGCTCTTACAGGTGGACTTTGGGGTACAATCAGCTTGCAAGCTAATTCAGGTTATTGGCAGAGTCCACTCCCTTGCGGCTGTAGGACTAGATACCTGGTTCCTTGCTGGCTGTTGGCTGAGGGTTGTCCTCAGCTCCTATAGTCCTCTCTGTGTTCCCCTCCATTAGCAATGGTGCACTTACTCTTTGACCTAGCAATGGCACATTTGGTGGGGAGCAGAAATACCATATTGTCTGAACCGTGTCCAGCACGGCCAGGGGTGAACCTGAGAAGGGGTGGTGAAGGATTAAAGAAGACAGACAAGAGAATACAGTTGGGGCTAGGTAGGATCACTGTGCCTGGATGAGGCAACAGTGACACAGCCTGTAAGCCAAGCTTTATTTTATAGTCAGATCACACAAAGCAAGACAAGGTGAGTGGTCAATCTTCTTGTGAGTTTCAAATCTGTTTTGTTACTCAAGCCTTGTTTTGGTAGCACTTGCCGCACCTCCCACAGCCCATCAGCTACCCAGGAACAAGGGAGGACCATAAGGTCAAGCTTAATTGTGCTAGGAGGGCTCTGCCCTCCAAGCTGGGACTTGTAGGTGGCTCTGCCACAGGTCAGTCTGAGGCTTGACCCTATAGCCGCTCCCTACGATCGTGGTATAAGGAACTCTAAGAAGGGTGTTTAGTGTAGCATTGTTTGTATAGGCAGGAAGCGGGAAGCAAAATAAATGTCCAAATAAAGGAATGAATGGTTAAATCATTTGTGGTAAATCCATATTGTTGGCAGTTATACAGCTATTACAAAGAATGTAGTTATATCTACTGATCAGCAGTGAAATCCATGGTATGCACTTCAGTGTAAACAATACTGAAGAGTAATGTGTGTAGAAAATGGGAGGGGGGAGGAAAAAAGCATGTATGTAGAGATGTTCAAAGAAAGGTATGGGAATATATACCAAACTGCTATAACTGTGGGGGTGGGTAGGGTCGGTTGGGGGATTATTAATTTTTAAACTATATCTTGTTTGACTTGAACGTGCAGCTCTTTTGTTTGAAACAGAAGGAAGCCGCATATGTTACATACAAATCACACATATATGACTTTTTAAGTTAAATTAAGCAAATGGCATCTCCTCACCACAGTTGTGAGCACTCGAGTCGTGCTTGGTGTCTTCTGGCTGTTCCTTCAGGAGCCAGGTGAATGGCTTCCTGTTCCTATTGTGGAAAAAATGACTACATTCCAGCTTTATTTTTGTTGTTATTGCATAAAAGCTGTTTTTAAGTATTTGCATTGCTTGTCCGTAAAAGTGACAGAACAGATCACCCAGGTGTGCTCAGGAAGAAATTAAATGAAAAAACATTTCCTTTCCCAATGGAAAGAAACCAATTCTAAACTTGCTTTCTTCACCTTTGATAGGAGCCCAACTCTGTCCTGATTACGATTCACAAAGATTCCTGCCTCCACATCCTTAGTTGAAAAAATACACGAGCCATAAAAATACAGCTTTGACAGAGATGTGTTTCTACCAGATTTCTTAGGTTAAGAGTAAAAGGGGAAGTGGTTTCTGTTTCTGAACTAGAAGAGTTCTAAGTGGAGGTTCTCCTCGCTGCCACTGTGGGTGGAGAGCTGCAGCCTGCTTGTGGCTCACTTACGCAGCCACCCTGCTGTGCACTTCACTCACAAAGTTGGTTGTGTCCCTTGAGGAAGGAGGGAAGGTGAGGCAGGCAGGAAAACAATACAAGCAATACACTTCCTCCTGTATATCTATGGGTCATAAAGCATTTCAAGTGTAGACTTCTTTTCTACTTGTAAGATCTAGCCTCTGGGTCACTTTTTAAAAATAACAAACTCTTGTCCTAATCAGTGGTCGGCAAACTCATTAGTCAACAGAGCCAAATATCAACAGTACAACGATTGAAATTTCTTTTGAGAGCCAAATTTTTTAAACTTAAATTATATAGGTAGGTACATTGTTATTAACTTAATTAGGGTACTCCTAAGGCTTAGGAACAGCCACACTCAGGGGCCAAAGAGCCGCATGTGGCTCTCAAGCCGCAGTTTGCCGACCACGGTCCTAGGTGGTTTGTTCAGTGGTTAGACTGTTGGCCCATAAACTGAAGGGTCACAGGTTTGATTCTGGTCAAGGGCACATACCTTGGTTGCAGGCTCCATCCCCCAAGTCTGTCTCTGTCTCTCCCCCTCCCTTCCACTCTCTCTAAAAATTTATGGTAAAATATCATTAGGTGAGGATTCAACAAAACACCTCTTGTATGTATATTGAAATTGTGTATCATAATAAAATTGATTTCCATGATTCCACCATCAACCTAATTTGGAAAACATAGAATCCCTACCCACCTTGATCCCACATCTCTCCACCTATCCCAACCCCTGAAGGTAACCATTTTCCTGAAGTTTTTTTTTTCTTTTCTCACTCTCTGTTTTTCTTTATAATTTTATCACATACTGTGAATCCCTAAACAACATATTGGTTAGTTTTCCTTTAACTTTTAAAAGTCTCATAATATATGTAGTCTAATGTAACTATGTTTTAATTCTTTTGCAACCTTTCTTTTCATTGTACTGATTCAACTATCTTGTTTCCTCTAGTTCATTCATTTTTACTTTTGTGTTGCATTGTATAACTATACCACAAGTTTACTTACTCATTCTCATGCTATTAGACATTTGGGTTATTTTCAATTATTCTCTGTGACATTGGACATTCAGATACACATTTCCTGGCTCTCATATGCAAAGGTTTCTCTGGATGTATACTTAGGAGTGGAATTATAGACGGAGCCTAAAAAAATGCTAAATTGTTTTCAAAAGTGGTTGATCCCAATTATGTTCCTGCCAGCAGGGTCTAAGAGTCCCCATTTGGCACATCCCTGTCAACATGCATCCTCTTCAAATGGCCCCGCCCCCCAGGTTTAAACCTCCTTTGTTGACATAAAAGTATTACTCTTGTGTTCAAATGCTTTAATTATTGTAAGCTAGTGGGTATAAAATGATGTCTTCTTGTGGTTTTAATGTTTATTTCACCGATTACTTGTTTCTCTTCTAAGAAACACCTGTTCGTGTCTTCTGCCCATTAAAAAAAAAAGTTTCTTTTTTCCTTTTCTTAAACATTTGTAGTTCTGTTTCAAATTCCTTTTATATGTATTGCATATGTCTTCCAATTTGAAGCTTGTACTTTTCCTCTTTCGTTAGTATTTTTAAAATCAATTCTCAATTTTAATAAAACACGAATCATGTTTTCTTTTAAGGTTATTATGTTTTGTTTTGGTGACTTGTTTATGAAAACCTTCTCTACCTTGAACTCAAAATGGGTTCTCAGGTTCTACTCCAGACCTGCTGGGTCAGAAACTGTGGGTGGGGCCCAGAAAAATGTGCTTTCACAGGCCCTCCAGGTGACGCAGATGCACACTAATGTTTGAGAACCACTGGCTATCAAGAGTCTTAAAGTTTTAGCTTTGATATTTAAGTACTTAATTCATCTGGAATTAGCTTAGTGTATGATGTGATGTTGTGATCCAACTTCTTTTTTTTTTTTCCATATGGGTAAGCTATTTCCCCAGCACCATTTATTGACTTGTCCTTGTCCTTGCTACTTACCTGCAATGTTCATGTAGCCTTGTTAATGGATCGATAGCAAAAAAACTGGAAACAGGAACACGCATAAAGAACTGAATCAATTATGTTACATCCTCAAAATAGAATATTAGCTTTTATAAAGAATAAACTAGATAATCATGTGTTGCTATGAAAAGATATCCAAGAACACAATATGCAAAAAAATATGCGTGCACGTGTGCACACACGCACATGCGCGAGAGCACACGTTTGTTTATATAGGCACAGAGATTTTCTGGAAGGATGCTTTAGAACAGTGGTTCTCAACCTTCCTAATGCTGCGACCCTTTAATACAGTTCCTCATGTTGTGGTGACCCCCAACCATAAAATTATTTTTGTTGCTACTTCATAACTGTAATTTTGCTACTGTTATGAATCGTAATGTAAATATCTGATATGCAGGATGTATTTTCATTGTTACAAATTGAACATAATTAAAGCATAGTGATTAATCACAAAACAATATGTAATTATATATGTGTTTTCCGATGGTCTTAGGCGACCCCTGTGAAAGGGTCATTCGACCCCCAAAGGGGTCGCGACCCACAGGTTGAGAACCGCTGCTTTAGAAGATGATGTTAGATGTTACCTTGGATTAGTGGAACTGGAGTGGGAAAACTTACTTTTCATTTTATGTCCTTAGTTCTATATGAAATATTTTCTCATTTTGCACAGATTGCTTTTAAATAATAATGTTAAATTTCTATAGTTAAAACTTAAAATTAAATGATAACCATTGCACTTTTTGATGTTTAGCTTCTCCTAGGTTTTTTCGTCTTTCTGCTTCCTTGGGCTCCACTTTCTCTCCGAACATTTCTCATGCCCCTACATGCTCATTCTGGAGTTGTCATCTTTGGAACAGTGATTGTAACAGCCCTCATGGGAGTGACTGAGAAACTGATATTTGCCCTGTAAGTGACATAGTTTCCCTAATTGTATACTTAAGCTATAAATGGAAAATACTTATTCATTGGGAAAAGGTAATCAAATATAACAAAATTTTAAAAATACTAAAACATTAAAAATTTTAAATATTTATTCTTAAAAACATTTATTTTATAATACAATATAACATTGTATATAAATACAGGTTATTATATTATACAATATAATACTACTAAATGCTTGAAGAAGGACCACAAATCCAATAAGTTGTACTACTCTTTTTTTTAAATATATTTTTTATTGATTTTTTACAGAGAGGAAGAGAGAGGGATAGAGAGTTAGAAACACCGATGAGAGAGAAACACTGATCAGCTCCCTCCTGAACACCCCCTACTGGGCATGTGCCCGCAACCAAGGTACATGCCCTTGACCGGAATCGAACCTGGGACCCTTCAGTCCGCAGGCTGACGCTCTATCCACTGAGCCAAACTGGCTAGGGCAAGTTGTACTACTCTTAAAACAACTATTGAAATTACGCATGCCCTTACCATATTTTTGATGTGCATGTTTTTATTGATTGCAGTTATGGTGTATGTACATTTTTGTATCATCCTTTTTTCATTTTTTAAGTGGTACAGGTGCTCCAGAAGCTCTATTATTTTTATACTAATGGTTTTTTTTAAACAATATCATACTATTCCACTGAGTGAATGATAGTATAAATTTCCCCTTACTATCAAGCTTTAAGGGAATTGACACTGAAGCTGTACCAGTGTGCATTTTCAGCAGATAAATTCAAAACTGTTTGGCATGTTGCTGTCTCTGTCTGTAAGTGGACTGACTCTCGCTCTCTCTTTTATTTTTTTGGTAGGAAAACACCTGGCTATGATACATTCCCACCAGAAGGTGTTTTTGCAAATACCCTGGGCCTTCTGATTCTGGTGTTTGGGGCCCTCGTGTTTTGGATAGTCACCAGACCACAGTGGAAACGTCCTAAAGAACCAGCTTCTGTCCGCCTTCAGCCAAACGGAGGCACTCCAGAGGGAGTGGAAGGCTCCATGGCAATCAACTTTGGCAACACGGACAAATCAGACTCAGAGTTAAACAATGAAGCAGCAGCCAGGAAAAGAAACGTTGCCCTTGACGAGAGTGGTCAGAAGTCCACCATGTAAGATGTAGAGGTGTAGTCGTGTAACTTTGCTTTTAAAAAACTAGCCCTACAGTTTAGCGTCTCCTATTTAGCCATAAGATGATTGAGCTCCATAGAGTTTATATTGTTTTAATCATAAAGTAGGATTTCTTGAAAGAGTTGGTACTGATCGAGGCCTATGAACTTACCTGCATTGGAAAGGAGATGGTCAGTGTAAATGATAGCAGCTATAAACTGTGGTTCTGTTACCGCTTGTTGAGGGCCAAAGCATCCTGTGCCTTGCAGAGCGCAGATGCTCACACTGCATCTGTCAGTTGGTAAATCTGATAAAGGGCAGCCCCGGAAGTTCTTCCAAAACTCAACTTAGTCCCAAGGCTTCCCTGGGGTTTGGCGTATTTTATGATCCAGATTCCAAACCCAATTAAATCAAGAATGTGCCTGAATTCTTAAGCAGCACCAACTGCTCTACAAACCTCACAGAGCACTTTTTCTCCAGTTTCTGTTTTTATTTTATTTTTTTAAAGTAGTTGCATGGCACTTACTGTGTGCCAGGCGCTATTCTAAGCACTTTATAGATATTAGCTCATTCGATCTCCAGACAAACCTTATGAGGTAGGGACTATGATTATCTTCATTTTACAGATGAAAGATCTGAAGCTTGAACTGGTTAGTAACTTGCCCCAACGTCGTAAGTGGTGGAACCAAGATTCAAAACCTGCCGGTCTGGCTCCTCAGTCCATGAGTCTCACCACTTCACGATGCCATTTTTTTCTGTTTTATACTAATCTGCACCTACTTTGACCCTCCCCTGAATAAATTTCTGTTGCTGGAGTGCAGTGGCATGGTTAATGGTTACCTTCCGGCTCTTTTTGCCAAAATTCCTCAGATAACCAAGGAAAAGGGCCTGGAAATAGGTCCTGGGTGCCCTTCCCCGGCCAACAAGCCACGGTTTACCTTGATGCCTCTTTGTTCTTAAAATTGCGTCTTGATGACAGAGGAAGTTTGGGCAAGAACACCTGTAGCTTTCAAGATAATCAATTGAGATTTTTGTTCTTTACGATCTTAGCTGCTGGACAGTTTTCAGTTTGAAGATGGGAGAGAGAGACTTACCTCAGGGTCTGCCCTTCTTAGGGGCAGCAGCTGGGGTCCTTCCAGACTTGCCTGGAATTTTAGGGGATACCTTGAGCTTTGCGTTCTCAGTCGTGAATTGCGACTCAGAGGTGACAACCTTCATGCATGGAGACCTCTCGGGGCTGACTTAAACTAAAACCTAGAGCAGTGTCTATGCTGAAGTGATGGTTTTCATGTGCGGGTCGATTTTCGGTTTCCCTGCAATGTTAAACTGGAGCACTTTAAGAAGGATAAAAACCTTACAGTTTTACAGCAAATACACTTGACTTTTTTAGTGCTTAGTGGATTTCCTCTTAGGATAACTGGTAATTACTTCTATAGATTGAATATTGAATACACTCCACCACATCCCTTAAGCTTCATGGATAACCATTCAAAATCCCCTCTCTGAAACACTGTTTTCTTATGTAATTCTGTTTCCAAAATTGGTAATAGTGTCAGTTTCATATCGGCTGAGCAGGCTACAATTTTTGTGCTAAGTAAGAGGAACTCCATTGTCACACACAGACATGTGATAAATGGATACTTCATTACATGGAGCGGTACAGAATTCCAGGAGTTTTAGAGGGGAAGGGTCAGTGAGATCCTCAAAAGTTGAAACTGCCATTCCATTTTACACAGGCCAAGAAAGAGGTAATTAGTGAAAAGTTAATTATGGGTTTGGTGCTAGAACATTCTGCTCCATTGCAAACTATTTGAGCACCCCTCATCTCAGCCCTTTCTTTTGTCTTTCTTTCTGGCTAATGTGAGGGTAATCTTACAGATATTATAGGAGCTTCTTCCCGTTCTTTCTCAGCCTTTATGAAAGCAATGCATGGCAAAATATACCTAGAAAAACTTCCTCTTTGAGACTTTTTTTAATGGGCTTCCTATTCTAAAGATAATTGCACCTTTATCTTTCAAAAGCTAATATTTTCTACCTAAAGCATCTCCCCCAAGAATATCTCATTTAAAAGCCCACAAGAAAGAATAGGGGAGAAGAAAGCCTTAGGTATCAATTCCAAAACAGTGACTGAGATCCCCATAAACAATTATAGCTTCTGTCATCTGCAGAGATAATCTGGCTTGGTTTACCCCATAATCTAATTTCAGGGGGGAAAGTTTTATTTTAACACTCATCTAAATCCACACTAACGCCTTTTCTCTTGAAGGGTTTATTGAGAAGCTCAAATGAATATACTTTTTGATTTAATGTTATCAAGTGTGCAGCTTCTTATGCTCCTTGTGTCAAACTGAGTCCACCTTCCAAATGTGTGGTTACATTTGAGCTGTGATGGTGAGAAACAGCATTGCAGGCCTTACAATCAAATGACAAAGGAGGCAATTGCACCTTTTAAGGGATACTGACAAGTGGTCTATGTTTTCTAAAGGACAAAGTAAAGAGGGTGTCTTGTTTTTAATTAGGGTCTTTCCCAGCCGAGTTGGAAATTCCAGTGCACTACTGGTTGACCACAGCTGCCAAATCTAAAAGCTCAAAGATGAAGTAGAGCTTTCTGCTAGTTTTATTGCAACATGATAGAATTTTTCTCTTGGAAAGCCCTTTTTGCAGGTTTACAACAGAAAACTGTAACTGCTATGTCTTAGAGCTACACATAGGAAAGTGGAGAAGAAAGAAAACTATTACTCTTTATTCCTATAAGGTACCTGGAAAAATATCTGTGTGTGTGAATTTGTCTTTCTATCTCAACACATTTATGGGAAAATATTAAATAGCCTGAGTATTTTAAAATTTTGTAGAAAAAAATATGCACCTATTTTTTTCTTGACTCGGTTTTATATAGTAATAAAAGTTATTTTGGAATTTATTTGTCTGTGTTATCAATTCGTTTAGGCTAGTACGTGTAGGCATGGTTCTAAGTTTCTTTCCCATGGAAAATTTTGTAAAGTTTCTTTATTGAAAACGCTGTCAGATTTCTCTCTAAAGTGTACTCTGAGTGCCATACCTTTTGCATTCCTAGAAGGATTAGACGCCTTGCAAACCTGGCGTGGTCTCCTCCACATGGGATCTTAACTGGAGCCATGCTCTGTGGTGTGAAAGGCAGCCTTAAATGTGAGCAACCCCAGCAGGCACAGTTCCAGTTGGAAAAGCTTGGAAGAATAACCTATTTAAAGTGCTGGTTATTACAAAACTCTATGTTACTAGTTCCTTGTCCTCAAGAAAGTACATAATTAGTAATGAACACATTGCTGAAGTTTTTATTTTCTAAATAAGAAAGATCATTCACATCTAACTAGTGCCAATGCTCATCCGATCTTAATTTCTCCTTTCATTTATTTTTTTTTTCACCTACTTTTTGTCTTCTGGGAAATGTTAGTGGTATCTCATGTAATAACACCATAATATATGTCCTATTATTCCTTAGAGCTAAAGTATTGTGAATGAATTGAGTTCTAATGTTACACTAGAGGCCTGATGCACGAAATTTGTGCAAGAGTAAGCCTTTGCAGCTGTAGTAGCTGCCTTGATCCCTCCCTCACAGCCGTGGTGGTGCCTCGATCCCTTGGCTGCAGCCCTGGCTTCATCTGGAAGGTGGTCCGGAAGGACGTCAGGTCTAATTAGCATATTATGCTTTCATTATTATAGATCCTATTTTGTCACTGATTTATATATTTAACCTCAGGGGCATGTATTTCATTTCAGATTGATCTTAATTGGAAAGTACTTTGGACACTTTATAAATATATGGCTCCAGTACATTACCATGTAATTTTTACATGTATTAGCTCATTTAACTCCATTTTCAGTTGTACCAGTGCCCACTATGCTCTCACCCCTCTGAGGCAGCTGTGCTTTTACTGACTCCATGTTACCTACATCTCTGCCACAATGGACTGAATCACGTGGGAGAGAACATGTCACCTGTATACAGCCTCACCATAGCTGGGGAGGTGGCCTGGCATGAAAAGAAGATGTCCTTCAATTTCATTCCAGACTGAGGAATAAGGATTTCAGAGGAATTTGGTTCTCTCTCTTCTAGGAACTTGGACTGGGAAATACTTGAAGAATGAGGTAGTGAGAGCAGAAGCTAAACAAATGCCTAGAGACAGGAGCCATGAATCTAGACCAGGGATCAGGAAACTGTCTCTAAAAAGACATATTGGGCCCTAGCTGGCTTGGTTCAGTGGACAGAGCGTTGGACTGCAGACTGAAGGGTCCCAGGTTCGATTCCCGTCAAGGGCACGTGGTGCCTGTGTTGTGGGCTCCATCCCCAGTAGGGGGCATGCAGGAGACAACCAATCTATGATTCTCTCTGATCATTGATGTTTCTAGCTCTCTCTCCTTCTCCCTCTCTGAAATCAATAAAAACATATTTTAAAAAAATAAATAAAAATAAAAAGCCATATTGGTTTTGTGAACCACACTGTTTCTGTTGTAACCACTCAACACTGCCTTTGTAGCTAAAAGAGGCCACAGACAATAGTGAATGCATGAGTCTGGCTGTGTTCCAATAAAGCTGTATTTATAAAAGCAGTGGCAGGCCACCTTTGGCTCACAGGACCACGTTTGCCAATGCCTCGACTTGACTATGAGGTTTGACCATGATACTTCATGGCAGGCTGAGAGGATGAAAAATCAAGAACTATGTGGTAAAGAGGAAATACTGATGGTAGAGAGGAAGAACTAGTCATTAATGACGGGAAGCACACATGCACAGTGGAGCGGGGGAGTGAAGACTCAGATCCTGCTGAGGATTCCTCAGAACTGCTCTGGTTCCGGTTCCAGTTCCCTGAGACCTGCTCTCTGGGAACCACGAAAGAACTCTGTCTCTTTTTAGCCGGAAATAAAATTCTGTGAGTTAAATAACACCACCTTACAGACAAGGGAACTTAGGTTATGAGAGGTTAAGTGTTCGCCCACGTTCCCCAGCTGGAAAAACCGCAGTCAAAATAGACACCTAGGTCTTCTGACTCTCAAGTACAGGACACTTTCCACCTCAAATCAATGCTTCAGTGCACTTTGCAGTTTGCTACCTAACAAACAAAGCTCTAATCTAAAAATCAAAGCTTGCTTTTGCAAGATAAACAGCAACTCATTCATTTGTAAATTTTAAACATCTTTAATAAGGCAGACAACTTGTGCTTTCAATGGAAAGTTTGGCACCAAATGTCCTCTGTGATCATCTCCAAAGATGACCCCCATCACTTCCCCTTCTCTCCAGGCGGCTCCTCATACCAGGAGGTGAATGAAGTCTGTTTCCTCTTTGCTTGAATCTGGGCTGGGCTGTTGGCTTCCTTTAACCAGTGGAATGTAGAAGTGACATTCTGAGAATCTTCCCACGCCTTAAGAGAATTTACAGCTCTGTTTCCTCCTCTTGGAGTCTGGCCATTATGCTGTTGCGGAAATCTAGACAAAACCACCTGAAGGCCACCTGAAGAGAGACAATGAGAAATAATAAATGGTTGTTCTTTTAAGCCACTGTATTTTGAGGTGGTTCGTTATGCAGCAATGGATGTGGCACATCATTCTTGTTTAAAAAATTAAAATGGGTGTAGAATAAATCTAAGTAGGAAATGTTTTCCAGAGCATTTCTGCAGGGCTGATTACATTTTCCTTAGGGTTTTTAAAAATTTTGCTTGGTGGAAAAAGGAGTTTGGAAAACACAGAGTTAAAGTTAAATAGGTCTCTCTAATGTAGGACTTTGCATACCGGTTCCCCAATATCTTTTTATGAACATTTTCAAACATACAGAAAAGTTGGAAGAATTACAGAGTGAACATGCACACACCTACCACCTGGAGTCAATAATTAATAATTTCTTAAATTTGCTTTATCACTTTTCTATCTATCCATTTCTTTATTCGTCAAATACTCATATTTTTGATACATTTCAAAATGTTACAATCCAGTAAATTAGTGTGGGTGAACATTTCTAGTTCATTGACTATCATAGAGAAAAAGCATTCAATATGCTATTGTTAAATATGTCATACATGATTTTCATCAGGTTGAAGAATTTTAATTTGCTGAGTTTCTTTTATTTTTTTATTTATTGTAAGACTAGAGGCCCAGTGCATGAAATTCATGCCTGTGTAGGGTCCCTAGGCCTGGCCAGTGATCAGGGCTGATCGGGGCCTTCCACTGCCAGCCGGGGTCTCCCTTCTTCGGCTGCCAGCTGCCGGCTGGGGCCTTCCTTCATTCCATGCAGCCCCCTGGTGGTCAGTGCACATCATAGTGAGCGATAGAACTCCCCGTCTCCTGGTTGAACTCCCGCAGGGACACTTTGCATATTAGCCTTTTATATATATAGACAAGGGGCCCGGTGCACAAAATTCATGCACTGGGGGTGGTGTCCCTCAGCCCAGCCTGCCCCCTCTCACATACTGGGAGCCCTCAAGGGATGTCCTAGTGATGGCCTAGGCCCACTCCCTGCTCCCCTTGGGGAGCGGGCCTAAGCCGAAGTCTGGCCTCCCTTTTTGGGAGGCGACCGGGC